AATTAACATTTCTTTCCCCGGCTTATATACGATTGACATGCCTGGATATTTCAATAGTCGCAAAAACATCCTTTGCAGACGAGGAGTAACATCTTCAATGTCCCTCTTTACTAACGTTTCTAATGGGTTGTGATCCGAATTCACAACAAATTGTCTTCCATACAAAAAATGATTAAAACGCTAACAGGCAAAAACTATGGCAAGTAACTCCTTCTCAATTTGAGCCCATTTTTGCTCACATTTTGAAAGCGTGCGTGATGCATACGCAACCGGTTTTCCTTCTTGAAGCAACACACTTCCTAACCCATCTTTTGAACTATCAGTTTGAATAATTATTGACTTGTTAGGATCATAAATAGTTAGCACTGGTGGGCCGGAAATTGATTCAAGAAGGCTATTAAGTTCAGTCGAATGGTCATCAGTCCATTTCCATTCAACGTTGTTTTTTGTTAAATTCCGCGAGGCAGCTGATTTTTGAAATAAATTAAGAATGAATCTGGCCAGAAATTTGCACAAGCAAAGCAAACGTAAGACATCAGTTTTATTCCTAGGTACTGGCATTTCTTTTATAGCCCTAATATATTTGTCAGTGGATTCCACGTTATCGTCAACAATAATGAACCCCATAAATATAATTTTATTTGTGCGATATTGTATTTTTGAACTGTTAAATTTCACATTATTGGCAAGCGCGCGCGCAAGTACCACTGATAGCGTTCTATCATGCTACAAATATCAAAAATAAACTCAAAATATACTTCAACACCTGGTATATCACCAAATAACTGAACCATGTGCTTCTGAAACATTTCAGGCGCGTTATTTAGTCCAAATGGCACACGATTCCATCGATACCGGCCAAATGGTGTCTTAAATGCTGTGAGATCGGAACTTTTCCTATCTAACTCCATATGCCAAAATCCGTTGCATAAATCGAATACTGTAAATACGCGCTTGTTCGATAAACGACTTATTATGTCGTCAAACGTGGGAATTAAATAATGTTCTCGTTTTATACACGCGTTCAAAGGTTTAGGATAAAGACAAATGTGAAGATTAGGGTTCGAACGATACTATCGATATTGAGTAAGCATCGATATTGAGGGTATAAAAATGAGTACTTTAATAGTCGATACCTTATTTGGTGATTTTACTCGATACTTTGCAAAGTACTCGTAGTATCGAATACTTTTTAAAAAACACACTTTTTAAATTTTTTATTCCATTGGCAACCCAATTTTCCTTGCTTATATGGATTACTATCATTCAATTTTGTCCATCACTTAAGATAAACTGAAATTTCGTGTAGTCTGTTGCATAACATAAACCAAATAAGTTAAAGTTTAATAGCCTTATTCATAAAAAAATAAGGTAGGTTTATAAACCTCTTATATTTTGTATGAATAAGGCCATAAAACTTTACAGAAAGTTCACGAAAATGCAGAGTTTTTAGAAACTTTTTGGGTATACAGTTTTCGAACTTATTCAACTCTACGTGTAGCCTACTACCGTTAACTTTTAATTCAAACTTACACAATATTATACTAAAATTGAATAGGCTACAAAAACGAATACCCAAAAAGTTTATAAAAATTCTTAATAAAATTTGAAATTTGTGAAAGTATATATATATATATATATATNGTGTAGCCTACTACCGTTAACTTTTAATTCAAACTTACACAATATTATACAAAAATTGAATAGGCTACAAAAACGAATACCCAAAAAGTTTATAAAAATTCNCTACGTGTAGCCTACTACCGTTAACTTTTAATTCAAACTTACACAATATTATACTAAAATTGAATAGGCTACAAAAACGAATACCCAAAAAGTTTATAAAAATTCTTAATAAAATTTGAAATTTGTGAAAGTATATATATATATATATATATGTATGTATGTAAACATGTACATTTATCGTTAAAATTACTTCCAACGTGAAAGTAAGTTCTGCAACAATGAAATATTTTAAATTTTTATTGTTTTAACTTCAGGAAATAACTAGATATACGATAGAAGAATAAAATAATTTTAGTATCCCAAAAAACGTATTTTATTGAGTCCGATACTGAGTAGTATCGATACTTTTTCCCTGATACTTTTAGAGTATCGATACCATGAACTCGATGCCAGAATGAGTACCAAAGTCTTAAATTTCAAACCCTAGTGAAGATCACCATTTGGCTTTTCAACTAATTGCAAATTGTTGATCCAGTCGGTCAGATAATCAACAAAACTAATCACTCCTTTCTGCATTAATTCCAGTTTGTCTTTTCATTTCTTATGAAGACTTAATGGAATACGCTTTTTATAGTGCAGCAAAGGAACAGAGTTTTCTTTCAAGACAATTGAGCATTTACCTGGTAATACGCCCAAACCATCAAACAGTTTTTTGTTTATTTCAATAAACTCCTTGACATCAACGGGAAACTCCGCCCCAATCGCATCAATCCTTTGAACCAATGCCATTGCAACGCAAGAATCTAGTCCTAATATGGGCTCGAAATTGTCGTCAACAACCAAGAAGTTGCAGCTATGATTTCTTTTATTTCCGACATCAACACATGTTAATTTAACTTGACCAAAAACGTTTATTCTATTAGAGCTATAATCAACAACATCAAAATTTGTATGCTTTGAAAAAGCATGAAATTAAGTGGAATGCAATTAGCATCGGAACCGGTATCAATTTTAAATTCAATGGGCCATTTTCCAATTATGAATTTCTTCCTCCATCTGATGCGATCCATGTTTATTCTGTTTGAATCAAAACAACTACTTAAGGAACTAGTTCTACGTGTATTGCTAATCGGATTAGCATAAACTACTAAACTATTACCTTCATCACACCAATTGACTGTGTGAACTGCTTTACCATCACGGTTGGCGATCCATTTACCAGACGACCGAGCACTATCTTCCTTCTCATTCGATATTGATTTGCAGAATTTTTCAAAATGGCCGACTTTTTGGCATGATCGGCATTTAATGTTGAGCGCTGGGCAAAAACGACGATGTTGACCGTTGAACACTTGTCCACAATTGTAGCATTGCCGTTAAATCGCAGCAACCGTCTCTCGCTTCTTTTCCACAGATTTGATTTCCACTGGTATTGATGCCCCTCGATCCAACATTTGTTTGTTTTCCGATGCCGCTTCAAAAATTTTACATGTCTCTATAACTGATGACAACGACTCATTTTTTGAGTCAAGCAACTTAAGTTGTAATTTTCTATCATGAATACCGATGACAATTCGGTCCAACAGAACATGATAAAAACATAGCAAGGTATAACCGTTCTCTCAATTTGTCGGCCATGATTTTTTTTTGAAGTTTGCCAACATTTTAAAATCATATAAAAGTGAAAATAAAAAATTGAAATTGTTCGAAATTGTTGTTGCTTGAGATTGAAAATGAAAATGTGTGTGTGAGTTTGTGAGTAAATTTAAAAATTAAATTGTTTGGAAACGTCAAGAATCTTAAAAGTGATTCTCAGCGGTTCTACCTTACTATATTTTTATCATGCAACAGAATACGATCAGCATACGTTGTTTTACAATTTTAACATTCAAATTCGCAAAATTGTATTTGTGTGCGAAGTGCGGTTTCATATTCAGCAAATGGTTGTTTTTCTTTTTGCGATATCAAGTTAAACTTGAATGCCTCCATCGTTGTATTTTTCTTCGGCAAACAGTATTCGTCAAAAGCTTTGATGACACTATCCATTGTACGAATGTGTTGATTTGTAGGTAACACATTTTCACCACTACCGCCACTGTCGCAGCTCCCGTTATTAGGGAACAATGTATTAAATATTTCCACGCCTCGCTGACCAATCAGCCACAGATACGTAGCTATCTTGTTTTGTTCGGATTCAGACATATTGTTGTTTGCAATTAAATATATGTGACCTGGTCTACGAAAAGGGAGCTACGTGCGAAAACTAGTTTTCTGTGAAAAAGCTGTTAAAAGTAAGCAACTCGTTTCGTCAGTTTCTCATTATCTCGTTAATTGTTCTCCGCGCCGGACGTCCAGTAAGTGTTGTTGTTGGTCCAGTAAGTGTTGTTGTTGGTCGGAATATTATTATAGTTTTATTATTATTATTATTAATTTTATTATTATTATTATTAATATTATTATTATTTTTAGTACACTTCTAAGCAAGTTAGGATTTTCTGCTTTTCACCACGTGAAAAAGCATCTCATCTTCCATCCGAATCAACCAAAAAGTGAAAATTGATTTTTTGACACCTAAGCCCCCTTTCCGTAGACCAGGTCACATATTATGAACTTTTGCTTCCATTTTGGCCATCTCTGGCCAAGTCGGAGCAGTCCAATGGTTGTGGTAAACGAAAATTCAAAGCTGATGTCATCTTTAAAAATTTTTCACTTCTGACACAATGTTTTACGATTTGTGTTATCTTTATTTGGTCGTCTATTTACTTAGACAATACAGGCGCTAATAATCTCTCCAGCTTACAAAAAATGTGCTCTTATACTAGGTTTACATATAAGTAGATTATCCTCATTTTCGAGCTTAACACCCTAATCTGTAATTATAACAAGGGATTAGCCATATAAAATTCGACCCTTGTTAATCTGTAATTATAAAATAATCTCAGATTTAACCGATAACTTTTCGGTGTACATCCTAGTTTTATCGATTGTTTTTGCGAAAGAGAGGAGAAATGCCAAATGTAAAAGTAAACAAAAATGTACGCTAGCAAGTAAAAGAGGTTTGTAAAGGTATTTTTAATAAAATGTTAAGTTAAAATATATTTATATTGCTTATTATAGCAGAAAAACGTGATCACGGTGGCACAGAGAAGAAACATAAATTTTCCTTGAGATATGAGAATAACAAGCACAACAAATTTGACGGCTAATAATCTAAGATTTGCCTGTGTAAACGGGGTGATTAAACAACGAGCTTTGATTGAGATAATATTGATATGTGAACATAGTTTTAGGGAAAAATACTTAAGTTTTTATATCTAGAGATGAACCACCAAATCCGATAACATTTTAGGCTCTTATGATTAAGGTAGGTTTACATGACAAGCAATATTATACTTAAGGCTAAGTCACACTTCACTCTTTAGAACAAGTATGTTCAATTATTACAGTAATGAATAGCTTTTAATTAGTTTTATTATTTGCTGAGCTCACCTTTTCCAACTTTTGCAACTAGCAGGCAGTCACAATTAATTATTCACCGCTGTCGGTGCCATAAGCTATTAAATCCATTTTGTTGTTGGATTCCATGCGCGAATGCGTTTTCATATTTTGAGGCCTATGAACGCAAATGTTTAACGTATATTGCATGCCAAGTCCCACTCCTCAATAGATATTAAATTCGCCTTGAATGGATTCTTATTTGACTTGTGAACTTGGCAGTCAACTTTTTCACATTCCATTTTATCTTTATTTCGCTGCGTGCTAACTTTGACAATTTTCACAAAAACCAAATAAATGCTGTTGTTTTCGAGCTGAAGACGGCGCATAGAGGAGTATTTGCATTGTAAAACCGGTTAAAATTATTAGGTGTGTCTTTCTGCTAAGTAGTAAAACAACGCGGAGTTTAATCATAATAAGCCGCTATATGAGGAAAAATAATTACACTTTTCCAAGCAAAAATAGAAAAAAATAGTTTTTTCAACAGATCTTTAACCATGGAAGGTCATGGTTCGTCGTTTCGACGACGCGAGTTTTTATTTTACCGTTATCGCTGTTTTCCTTTGTTTGTATAGTGCTAATTTTTCGTACAGCGCTAGTCGGTGTTGTGCTGTTGATGTGTGCGGTTACTTAGATTCATGCGCTTCGTGTAAGTACTTATTTTTTAAATGTGCGTAGTCAAAACGACGAAGGATGAACTTTGTGTATGTTTTACGTTTATGTTTTCAAAGTAATTTTCCTAAGGGTTTTTTTTTTGTTTATATATTTTACTTGTGCAGTTATAATACACGATGAATGCAACCAAAAGTTATACCGACGAAGAAAAAAAAATTGCGCAATTTGTCCCCCTTCTAAGCGACGCATAACAAATCATCCTGTGCAAAATGCCAAAAAAGTCTCTGTGGAGAGCATAAAATGGAGCTTTGCGCCTCTTGCACAAAATGAGAACTGTCGTATCTAAAAGTTTTTTCCTTTTTTAGTTCATAGTATTATTAAAAGAAAATACCCCCTTTAAATGAACTATATGTACTTTAAGTAATTTTTTTTTATATTTTCTAATTAATGTTTTGTACAAAAATCCAAATGAATCAGAGCTGTGAAATCTTGAATTACAATCAAAAGACTAAAGAAATAGTACTTGATTAAAAAAAAATATAAACAAAACGAACGAAAAACACAACACTACGAACACTAAAGATGGCACAACGCCGAAACCGGTTTGTCTCCAAACCAAATTTGACAAGGGATGACGGATAATCATTCCACACTACATCACACTCCTACCCTGTCGGAAACGCCAACAACGAAAATTAGAATAAACAAAATAATGTGAAAATAATAATTTTTGTGCATTTTGATACACATGTTAATTAAATAACGCCTTTTAGAAATGCCGTCATCGAATCGACGAAAGTTGACCTTTGCGTTATAAAAATAATGCTGACCTTCCAGGGTTAACAAATAATATTCGATAGCTATTTCTTAGTTAATTCTTACCTCATTAAAGGTCGGACCTACAGTTTTTTAATTATTTGAGCATCGATTCTCTTTATAGCTAGACATTGAACATTTCTGCTGGAAATCCCTATTGAAGGAGCCTACTCTTTGACTTTAAATAGCAAAAGAAGGGGACGTAAGGGACAGTTTTAGCACAGAAGTTTTTAACCAAAGATCCAATGTATATACCTATGAAAAAAAATATTGCCCGACAAACAAAATTACTGTTTTTTAAATGTTTGCTAAAAATAAATTTTCCAAAGAGCTTCATTTGAAATGATGGCACCGAATATAACATCGAGAGCTAATCACGAAAAAGTGGTTTAAAATTATAGTGCACACTTTCTTCTTTCATGTCTAGTAGTTTTTTTTTAAGATTGGACCACAATATTATAATACAGAAAGAAAAAAAAGATCATGTTAGAAGCGGGATCTTATATAACTGCCCATTGATAGCTCGGTTATATAGCTTACGAAATAATAGGTTAGACACTTTTTTTATCAAAGTAGATAAATCTGACTTTTACCTGTTTTGTTACACTAATACTCCCTATGTGCTGAAAAAAATACTACCTTAAATTTGTCATTTTGTTTGTCAGATATACATTCGCATTCGCAAAAGCTCAGCATTGATTATTGCGAATGCGAATGTTAAAATTGATGCGGAAGCTCCGCGGTTGCGAATGTAAATACGAATATGCGCAACAACCCTGGTTTGGATAAGTGATGCGCGATATGGGGATTTTTCGTTCGCACTGAGTTCAGTGACTACGACTTTTCAATAACTGTGATTTTTGAATTGAAGAAGGTCAATTGCCCCAAAATTAAATTTGTTATATTTAATACTGCAACTATTTAGAAGTGCATGGAATGTTCAGTGGCGCGAGAGCGCACAAAATCATAAATTAATTATACTTATATATAATTATCGTCGTTTAAAGTAACAAACCGTGTATCGTCGTTCTGCAAAACCATGTAACTGACATTTTTTGCCAAAAATTGGATTTGCCCACCTCAGCTCTTGGGTCAAGCCAGAAAGGCGAGAATTTGAAAAATTAAATCACGACTTTTTTAAATTAGTGGTATTCAAAATAATTTTTCAGAAAAATTTTAGGTTTTCATAATTCAAGGGTGCCAGGAGCTACAATGCGGTGTAGAATGCGATCCTTTCGTGCATAAACTGTCGGGAAATTAACGTCGTGGAAGAGTTTTTAAAGATAAATTTTTAAAAAGTTAATTTCCGTTCCCGGATTTGATATTGCGGTTAAAACGCCTCCATTCGAACGACATTACCAAGCCAGCGTAGCCGCTGTATTTTAATTCGAGGCAGTATGTCTATATCGCAATTAAGCTCATACGGCTCATCGACTTATTATTTTACGGCCTTGTTTACCACCAGACCCATTCGCTTTTCTTCCTTATCCAACTTGGAAAAGGCGGAACGGACTTCGTCTTCTTTGAAGCTGATGATGTCGATGTCATCAGCATAAGCTCTTGTAGTAAATTGTTCCTGAGCGGTGCAGGTCTGCAGTTCTTATTGTCCACTTTAGGTTAACAAATTTCACACGGGGGATCGCCATGTCTGAAACCACATTTGGTATTAAACGACTCGTTGTGGTCCTTCCCTATTCCGACGGAACAGGCGGTATTGCTCAACGTCATTTCACACAGTCATATTCGTTTCGCCGGGCAAAAAGTCGACAAATAGATAGTGAGTGTTGGTCCGCTTCTCGAGTGTCTTTTCGAGATTGGGGGTATTGAATGCCTGGTCTCCTATAGATTTACCAGGTCTAAAGCCATACGGAGTCGGCGTAAAATTGTAGGTTCTGCCCTTTGTGTGACAACATCAGTCTCAACAAATACTAACATATGTATAAGCACCAATCTATTTAAAGTCACGCTGCAAAGGCCTAGTCAGTTCATTGAAGTAAGCTTCATAAAATACGCTAAATAAAACCTTATAGAATGCACTTTTGGTCCATCATAAGTTATGATTCATAACTCAGCCTTCATGACTACACCTCCAACAACGCAGAGAGGCTGATCGGCTTCGCAGAGATATTTCCTGCTTAAACAAGAAATTGTCCGTCAACCAATTTTTATCACAGTCTCTTCTTGTCACTGCGGAAGCGATAGTTGCATGGTTCCGCGCGCCGAAGGGAAGAAGGTGGGAAGAGAAACAATGCAAAGAGTGATTTTGGTTCGTTCGGTTCAAATCGGAGCTAACAACTTCCGGACATTTATATCCACGTATCCTCTGGGTAGCGGCCAAACATCCGTATCGGAGTGAACTAAAGTGGGAAGGCATAAAACTTAGCGTGCGCTGGGTTTGGATGCCGACACGTAAACACTCCACCTAATGAAAAAAAACAAAAGGCGGATGACACTTCCTCTTTTTCATTTAATTTCATTTATTGAGTCTATGATTATATAAACCTTACAGACCAGATTCACAAGATTGACTTAATTAAAAATGTATGACTAAGAATATAGAGATTTAATCATTGAGCCAAAACGAGATCTCGGGAGGGCAAAATCTAGATTAAGGCTACTAAATATTCGATTAAATTCAATGAGGGCTCTAGCAATGGGGTCAAAGTAATGGTAATTAGCTCTAATTAGCTTGACATGAAACGGATACTGAAAGCGTAGTGTCCGTTGCGGAACATTGAAACTTATCAGCTCAAGTAGCTCCGGGCAATCAATGAGACCAGCAATGATATCATAAACAAACATCAGTGAATGAATGGATCTTCTCGATTCAAGTGACTTCATCCCTATTAGCAAATAGCGGGAACTATAGGGGGGCAAAGGGGCTGTGAAATTAAATGGTTTGAGAGCGAAACGAATAAAGCTCCGCTGCACTCTTTCAATTATATGGGAATAATTTGAATAGATCGAATTCCAGATTAAGGAAGCATATTCCAATTTTGATCGTGCTAAGGAATTAAATAACATTTTGCAGGTATACGGATCGCTAAAGTCCCTTCCATAGCGGCGAAGAAATGCTAAGTTAGAGTAGGCTTTAGGGATAATATAATTAATTTGATTCGCAAAGATAAAACCGGAGTCAAACATCACTCCAAGATCCACAAATTCACGAACAGGAGAAAGGCTAGCACCAAGAGAATATGTTGACCTAATAGCGTTTAAATTTTTAGAAATGGTCATGTGAAAACATTTCTTAATATTTAGAGGTAATTTGTTTCTTGTACTCCAATTAGCCAAGTTATTAAGATCGTCTTGTAAAGACAAAACATCTGAAAACCAAGTGATGCTTCTAAAAATTTTTAAATCGTCAGCGTAAAGTAAAAACTTTGAGTGCTTTAAATAATTTCCAATGTCATTAATAAAGAGGAGAAACATAATTGG